ACATGACGGCGGGGGGGGGGGGGGGGGGATTTGGAACTAGGAAACAAAAAAAACTTTCAAAAAGCCGGGGAAAACAAACGCGAGGAAAAAGTCGCCGCTCACTTTCGGTTTTGGTCCGCTGTTCTCTCACAATACACTTCACATACACTACTTTAACAAGACTTTGTTTTCAAGAACCAAGAGAGACAAACTCAGGAAGACGTTTAACAGTGGACAGAGAACTAAGGACTGGGAACACTTTAAATACACACAGGAGGAGGGGATGACGAGACACACCTGGGAGCAATGAAACATCAACGGAAACACCTGGGACAAATGAACTTAATTAATCAGGACAGGAACAGGAAACTAACCAAATAAGGGCATAGGAAGGCACATGAGGAGCAAGACACACAAAACATGGAACAGAGTCTGACAGCAAATTGGAATTATATTTGTTGGCGAAATAGAGCAAAAACAGTCAATATTGTGTCTAAAATGTAAGCGTCTTAATATTAAATTCTTGTTTATTGAACGGCTGTATAAAATCAACGTCACATTTCTAATCATGCTGCTTTTTGGTGGAAAAAAACATCAGTCTTCGCGTGATACTGATTAACTATATGAAATGAAATAAATATATAAATTTCTGCCCTAATAAACTGAATCATGCAGTGAAAGAACGTGCACTGGTCTAACCTAGACTTCTTATTGCCCTAGCTAAACTTTAGCTAACTTAAATGGTAGCTAGGTAGCAAGACAAATTAACTGTATTTGCCTTTTGCATAATTAGCTGTAAATTTTGGGCACAGGTAGCTTAGTCTTTGTTCATCACCACTCACCTCCACAGCAAGACAAACACAGCTGGAAAGGGAGGGAAGGCTTCACTTCTGTGGCTCTCTGTCTATCTGTGATGCGCGTGTACCGATCAATGTGCGCTACACTGCTGTGCTGCGCACGCGGAGGGGAGAAAGGCATCGGAACTCGAGTCTCTCAGCATTTCCCAACCTGACCTGATATTTAGATTTTTTATTTGTTTGACAGGGAAAGCTACACATATATTCATTTATATATATATATATGTATATATATATATATATATATATATA